CTGGGGGGGGGCAAGGGGGGCTGAGCCCCCAATTTCGATGAAGGGGCAGAGCCCCCCCCCCACTCTTAATTTTGAATTTTTTATGCAAGGCAGCAGGACTGCAGGAGGGGCACTGCCCTCAGTTTTAGTTACTTATTTTACTAGAAGCAATGTAGAACATTAAGGGGCGAGCCTAAGCTAGCAAAGCAATTATGGCACTGGATCTATCCATCTATAATCTACTCCCGATGATTTCAAAGCATGCATCATGATTTAGGCATAGCAAACATGATTTACATGATGAAAGTTTAATGCTGCTGATAAAATTAATAAACTTTTAGTCTTCTAGTTTTACATACACATTTCTTGCCTATAAATGTCTGTAAAGATGCTTTACTTAGCTTTAGATATAATATTATCCAATATTAAGATGACTGAGAAAAAGTTTGATTGACTTTCACAGTTTTAATAGCAATTGCATCAGTAAAGACGAGCTTCATAGGTTATTAATTGAATTTAAAACCTTCTATAGCTGCTGGGGAAGTCTTTGGACGGTATCTGCCTTATATTGCTGCTAGAAAGCTCATGAATTCTTCCAGTGTGTTGGTTGCCATTTTTATTTTACTGTGACCGCTTCCACTTTCAATGAAAAATTGAAAATTGCATTGGTAATCCATAGTATCTATCTACCATATTAGATCTATGCATAAATAGGGGTGACGTACGAGGACAGACAGACAGCTACAGACAGAGGAACAGACGGGGCGTGACTGAGAGTATAGCTAGAGTGGGGCGAGCTCAGGCTCGCCCCAATAATAAATTTAATTTTAATTCAAATGAGCTCAAATTTTCTATGCAACATTAAGTACACTGTAGATGTGTACATGTCATTGTACATACATACAGTGTAATGTACATGTATCAGAAAAAACTTATAAAAATAGAAAATTCTCTGCCATTTAAATTGAATGCCAAAGACCAAAGGCTATTGCTTTAGCAAGTTTTAAAATTTATGAAAATTAAATTATGATTGGAATAAGCTCAAATTTATCAGTACATATGCAGTACATGTACAGCATATGTATAAATTTTTTTCTTGTAGTTTTTAACAAAAGCACAGGTAGAGTACGTGTATAAAATAATGTACTGTACATTGCATATTGTACATGTACCATGTACTATTAGCAATGTGGTAGTGTTACTAAGTAGGATTCACCCCAAAGTAAAATTGAAAGTAAAATGGCTTGAGAATCCTACTCAATCTTGTTTTTTTTTAATTTTTAATATACAGTATGGTTGTTGGCAGCAACTTGAGAAATCTCTTACAAGAAGGTACATGAGTACTATGCCAAAATCCAGCAGGAGACCCTGTTACTGTTCCTTTTTTAATGCTATTCATTTGTTGAGGTGGTTGGTCCTAATCTCTCAACCATCATAGGCACAACCCTTATGTACAGTATATGTAGTCTGAAACTATGAATGCAATGTGGTTATTCTGTACATGTACAAGTACATGTACGTGTACATCATTTCATTTGTTTTTTCCTCCTTCAATTTAGATATACTCTAGAGTTGGTAGAGTCTGTAAGGTATGTGTACATGTGTATATAATACTCAATTCAGAGCCTGAAATACATGTAACAGTTAGACATGGGACATTTTCCAACCATTATGCTATTACATGTACATGTACTGTTCTACCATTTTTGTCTGAACAGCATAGTTTTTGAGTAAACTTTGGCCTAAGTTCCAAACTTATAAGATTCAGTTCAAAGATGATACATACCATAAAACATATATAAAAAATAATAATAAGGATTTCCCCTTCTAAACATCCTGTACTACATAGTGGTAGATCTTTAACCCAACTTTTGAATAACTTAATATCACAACAAGAAGCTGCATGCATGCCAAAATACTATGGAAAACCCTGTCTGACCGTTTCATATAAATTTCAGGTCCAATTAAACAATGTTTAGATACAATGTCTGAACATTGTTTAAAGCTCTACTCATTATTTTCACTAATTATAAATTACTTCATGATACTCTAGAATGATACTGGTGTCACTAATATTCTTATTCCTACTTCTACCAAAGTTTTTGTCACATATCTCAAGGCTCGTATTATGTGCCAGTCAAGGGCAAAGTCAAGCAATGACATTCGTTTTACTTTCAATAGCTTACGTATGTCACCATTATCATTGATAATATTAACTTATTATGCAACAATAGAGGACACAGTTCATGTATCTAATGTGTCAGGAGAATACATGTATGGTGCTTTCACATCATCTGAGTAAGTACCTCATTATCATTAATACTATTATGAATACTTTATTAATAGGAATGGTCCTGCTGGATCAGCAATATGTGTCTATACGTTAAATGGAGAGAATACTAATGACCTTTCTG